GGTGGCCATTTCTTAACCGCCAGATCGTTAATGTCTGCGAAAAATGCCCGGAGTGTACTCTGTTTGGTAAGAACATCAAAACTTCCGCGACTTATAACTCAGCTAAGCCGTTACCAACGTCGTCAGCTCCAAATCAAGAATTGCAACTTGATTTCGCGGGTCCGTTATTAGATGATAAGAAGGGGAAAATCTACATTTTAGTCGCCATAGATCGTTTTTCTAAGTTGCCCTCGGTGATGTTAACTAAATCAACCAGTGCGAAAATAATAGTCAAATTTTTGCGATCATTCATTCGTAATCATGGCATACCAGAAAGCATTAGGACAGATCACGGATCTGAATTCACTCTGACGTCGTTAAAGAATTTTGCAAAATGAGAGGTATTAAACACATCCTCACAGCGGTGGGGGATCATCGGAGTTGTATGGTGGTGGAGAGATCGATCTAGGCCATAAAACGGAAGTTAGGAACAGAAAAATTAGATCCTAATTTTAAAAATCTGAAGTCAACTTTACAACAAATTATCGACGATATTCGGAAAACTAAGCATTCTACGTTAAAAGAATTTCCTTTTGAGTTACACTTTTGGAGGTAGCCCAATACTGAGTTTTCATTAGCACGTGATAATATTGTTCATTCTCCTACTTCAACGCAAGGACTAGAAAGGAACCTCCTAACCCCGGAGCAACGGTCAAGCCAGGATTACAGCCGCGATAGGGCTAAAGTTGTACCCAGAGGATTGTCACACAGCCCAGAAATCCCCTATAAATTCAAGCCACTCTTTGGTGTGGGCGAGTGTATAGCGGATAGTCAACCGTATAAAGCCTTGGAGAACCTTGCGAAGGCAGCTAACACCTGGAAGCAGTGGAAACGGAATGTGCCTCCACAACAAGGACAAGATCTTCTCCGTGAATTGGCGGCTTGGAATAGCGACCTCGCAAACTCGCTGAAATCAGGGATCACAAAGGGGACCCTACGCTTTTACGATAACGCCCGCGATACGTCAGCACCAGCACTCTCGCATTCACAGAGAATGAACGTGTCGTCTTCTTCGAGGCCCAAAAGACTCTCCAAAACACGTAAATTAGAAAAATTAGTTTTACAAGATCCTCTAAGAGTCAAAATCTTTCGGAAAGTTCTTGATCGAAAATCGGGAAAACCTCTGTTCAAACTAGCAAAAATCAAGATTACTCGTGTCACGAATCATACTTACATTAATGACAAAGGGAAAGTCTACCGAAAAAATCACTTAAGCCTAAGACATAATTTTAACCACCCTAAGTTTTCAGCTACGCCAGGCACAGTGGGAGAACGCTTGCAGCGACGAATTGCTCCTCGGCCCCAGGCTCAACTATCTACTACTCCAGCTACACGGCAGACAGACGAATCTTTAAAGGGCAAGGTGATCGACTTAACAGCAGAGTCATCAAGCGAGGACTCATTGATCACTGGGCCTCAGCTAGAATTGGTGGAGGCACCGGTTAAAACACCTCAAGGATTGGCTCCCGTGATCGATACATCAGAAGCTCCGATCATCAACCCTCCAACTAATCCCGCCTTGATATCTCCTACAGGGGCGTTAGCAACACCCCAGGATCAGCCAGAGACTTCTGACACAGCAGCAAAAGACACAGCGGATACTGGCCATTTGAAGGTTGACAATCCTACCTCCCAATCTTCGAGCGAGTTTAATAGGTCATCTAATCGGTCCAAGAAACCGACGAGGTTTTATGGAGATCCTCTTCGCCATTCAGTTAAGAGTGTAACTGAATCAAACTCTGCAGAGCCTTCGTCACTACAAACAAACACCATTCAAGTCATCACTACGCCGTTCACCCCGATTGTTCGTAAGGTGCCGTTTCCCAGAACTAAGGAGCTAACTACTCCGCTTAAGAAAACTAGAATCGAAGAGCATGACAAAACTTCTTAAACTTTAAAACTTTATAAAACTTTGCTATATTGGCTTGTTGTTTGGGTTATTACTGTTCATATTTGGTGCTTAATTCTTTCTCCCCATTCTGCCTGATTCATTCCGAAATTTATACTAAGATAAATTTTTTCTAGAGGGGGAAGTGTCATGAGGCGACCTTCGGTACCTCATTATATTCTATTTACTTATGTATTGTCTTATCTAACTATGTCCTAATTATCTACTTATAGTGCAGTAAATTGATTCAAGGACAAATCTCACCAGCTAAATCGTTTGTCACTTGAGAATCTGAGGTGGTCACTTGCGAAAGCCTTAAGTGTTAAATCTAGTCATAAAAACATTAAACATTAAAACAATACTTCAATTCTGGATTCGTTAATCATTTATTCATTACTCTATTCTATCTATTTATATATCATATCTAATTCAATATTCGAATTTTACAATACCGTTTTCCCTACTCTCTGATTTCAGAAAAATTTTGAACCGAATGAGTTATAACGAAAAATGTATCTTTTCAGCAGTCAAAGGCGTGTGTCTACAGTCCTCTCTGTCTCGTTTTTAGTTTTTTTCTTTAGGCTGTAATTGCCGCCGTAGCCAGACTCCCCCTGAGTCCTCATCCGCAGAGATTTATTTTACCGAGTGCTTCACCGGGTTTCCAAAAGCTAATGGTTTTTTGTTTGTCTTCTGTCTAGAGCTTCTTTTTACTCCCCGATCTTCTTTACTTGAGTTGAGTCCTTGAGTATCCCGAGGAGGGCCAAAATTTCAATTCTTTTTTCGCTAGGGTGGTTTTCATGTAACATTTTCTACTATCTTCCGTACTCTCCTGGTAAATACTTGATCTGCTAGGTCTTCCCACTTCTTTGGTGACCAATCCTGGTGTTAAAAGGTGTTGAAGATGCCTTCGTTTTCGTAATTTTCGTAAATAATAGGCTTTCTGAGTTTCGCTCTAAGTTTTTGTGTTCAGGTCTGAACATAAAAATCAAGGAATTTCTTAATTGACAAAACCAACAAGTTCAGTGGAGAGAATTCCACAAATAAACTACATTTGGAGATTAGTAAATTATTGTTATAAGATCAAAAATTTGGGATCTTGTTAACAATTTGGAACCTGATCTAAACTACATTTTATGATTGGATAAATTAGATATTTTACCACTGTAAAAATTTAATATTAACCAATCATAATCCATCCAACTAACAACCCACTTATTTGTAAGTGCTGAAATTACTTGTAATTTCAGCACCAGAGAGATTTGAATTTAACTTAGAAATTAGTTACTTCTCCAAGAGAACTTCAACAGTTGCAATAAGCCAGCATTGAGCCTATTGAGCCTAGCAGAGACTAGTTAAACACCCTGAGACTAGTAGATATAAGAGTAAGATTAGGATCGGTATTAGACTAAGAAGTTGCACAAACCTATCCGGCCGAAAATAAGATAGCGTGACGAGCAGACAGTGTACCCTATCCTAAATTACTCTATGAGTTAAACACATTGGCACTAACTCAGTTTCCCCTTGCCTTCGTAATTTTTTTCTCTCCCTGCCCCTGCACTGTTTGTACAGTCTTTTGCCTCATCGCCTCTTGCTTTATTGGTTTCTTGCTCTTCTCAGATTTCGCCATGATCTTGAGTTTTAAAGCCTGTGGTTTTTTATCCCGCAAATTTTGAGTTGCTTCTTTGTTAGACAAGGTTATACTGTCCCTGTTTCGATTTCGCGTGACTGTAATTTGTTCAGGTGACTTGGAATCTAATGTTATAAAAGCTTGTATCTGCACCTTGTTGCTGCTTAAGCAGCGGTCTGTCATCCTCAAAGTCGCTCCCTTCACTTTCTTCACTCCGAGTTTTTTTGGTCTTTTGTACTTTGATTTTTTGCTCTGCAGTGGGACTTTCACTTGGCCCATGGATTGGTTTTCTTATCAAAAAAACTCTGCTTCTGCCATGTCGCTCTTCCAGTGATTTACCGTGATATCTTGGATAGCGTGGATAGCAAAAAGCGTTCATCGTGGATAGCATAAAATACTTTCTCTTTTCAATGGTAAGTTGATGATTTTCCAATTTTTTCTGTTCTCTTCAAAATTAAAAGAGACTTTTTTGTTGCCTGGTTTGAAAATTCTTCCTTGTCTTCAATAAACTTTTCTCCCAGGAGTATGACATTTCTTTTTTTCCTGTTTATTTAGACCTGTTTAGTCTACGATTTTGCGTATGTCGGTTTTAGCCGCATCCAGTTGTTCTTCGCTCCGCTTCGCCATCGCCTCTAGAAGATTTTTCAGTACTTTTGCTCTTTCACTCTCATGTGCTGTTGCCCGTTGTTTTTTTTTATACCACAGACTTGTTTCTCTGCTATTCGTTCCTTTCTTTTTTTTTTAATTTTACGCTCTCTCGATTGGTCGATCCTTCGTTTTTTAATGCGACACAGATTTGCCGTTTCTAATAGATCAGAATTAAATGATGTTATTCCTGATATATTAATTTTCTTTTTTTTTGGCATTGTTTCGAAGTGTGCCCCAGACGGTGAACTTTTTTTGCTTTCCGTTTATTTCATCTCAAAATTCTAATGATTGTGCTCAGTTTGAGTTTTATGGACATTTTGTTTTCGCTTGACCTTAATAGCTTAGAACTAACCAAAAATAGATTAGAAATTAGACAAAACATTTTCAAAATGTTATACGATAATAAATTAATCAAATGTCTCTACGACTCAATAGATCACAGCCGATATTCCCACTAATAATAGAACTACCCGGAATTGTAAGAAGACCTCGGACAAGAGACGATATACTACTACATAGAAACTACGTAGTTTCATGGTTGTACGGCAAAAGCCAACACAAACGTTTATACGTAGAATCTTATTAGCAATGAATTTAGATTTTCATTTGTAAACATAATTGAAGTAAACCTTCATGATCATTTCAGGCGCTCAACAAAATTATTAATATACAATAAAGATTGATAAAAAGATCTCAAATCGTTTTCTTAATTTCTGCAATATTATATAAAACATATTTAAAAAATGTTTATTGAAAATAAAAATAAAAATTAGTAGCATGACAATAAATTGTTAGTAATTATAAATCATCCTGTTGTTCCAGCTTCATCACCTAAACATAATAACAATCATAAGCCAACGAATATCATCAAAAACTAAAACTTTTTACCAAATAAATTTAAACCATTTTAAACTTAATTTTATTTAATTTTAAACAAGATCATCAAGGCTTATCCTTGGATCTTAATAAATTTTCTATGTCACTAATTTTAAAATCTGATCATCAAGGCCTATCCTTGGATCAAACAGAACAATTTTGTTCTGCCCCACCCACTTAGCAAGTGTCTAACGACCTCAAATGTCGACTCACTATCCAACCTTTTCAAAAGACCCAGGACTAATGGAAATTTTTAATAACACTTACCATTCAAATTAGGTTAAACAGTGAAGAACTTCCGTTATTCATCCTCCACTTGAATCCTCCTCTTACCAGACCCAGGATAGATCTTAGACTTAGTAAGTTTAAAATAGTATCTAACGAACTACTTGCGTTCTAATTATACCTGAACCTTGTGGATCGATTTACTATTCTCCAACCTTTGAACACAATCACTACCCCTAAGTAAGATTAAGTAAGTTAACACCCTAACTTAGACTAGCCACGAGAAAGTAAAAAATCACTCCCCGGAATCGATTTACTTTTTTCTCCAACCCTGAATACAAAGACCCAGGTCAAGCTAACCAAAAAATCGTAAGGACTAATAGTCTAGGAAAATAAAAAATCACTAATAACTTCTTGCATCCCTCATCCTAAACCTTATGTCATTCAAAAAATTAGGAAATAAAGAAACAATCGTTTTACACAATTGCGAAATAGACAACCAAAAATACGATCTTGTAATAACTCCACATACACAAACAGTTGGATACATTCGAACAAAACGACAAACAAAACGACAAACAAAACAAAATTATAAACAAAGACAAATCACACGAAAAAGATTTTCAAAAAACAGAAACGAATTTTCTGAATCAGAAGCCAACAATTTAGACGAACTATACAAATTAAAAGAATCAATAAATTAAAATTTTCCCATCCATGATCAATTATATTTTTCCGATTCAGAAACAACTTCAAATTCATCAAAAAGAGGAAAAAGACGAATAAAAAAGCAATATAAACACAAACCAGTACACCTGTATAATTGGAATCAACTAATTAGACACATTGATAGTTAAATACTAACAGTCATCAAACGCAAAAAATGAGCCACTTTCAAAGTGACGAAAGTTCAGATGAAGAAGCAGTTTTTCCCTTTCTTATAGATTCACTCGATGATAGAGGACAAACACGATTTTGTAAGAACTTACTCATAAATTTGTTTGAACCAGGAATCAGTCCATGAAAAGCAAAATTCCCAGATGTAAGAATCAAAAGACAGGGTATAGAACATTATTTGAAAGATATATGTAATCTAACACAACAATACGGAATCTACACCATAGAATTCAGCACACCACGAACAGCTCATAGCAAATATGTAATCCAAACAGACGATAATGATTTAGAATTTTCAAAAGTATTCATAGAATATATCAAAAGCATACAATACCATAATTCACAAAGAGCAAACTCCATATTCACTAACGAATTTTTTGCAATAATATATAGTTTTATATCTATATTAGAAAAAACAGAAGTTCAAAGTATATCACCAACCGAAACATCCAAACATACAAAAGTACGAAATGAAATCACAGTATTTTCGACATTTCTACATATAATTCGCGAAAATTTTACCAAAGATGATGTTTCACAAAACACTAAACATGATTTGCAAAAGATTTTAGCATGGTTTATAATAGATTATTTTACCCACAATTTAGAAATATTTTCACAAGCAAGAAAAAATTTCAGACCTCAAAATACCAATGACGACACTGTCCTTGCAGAAAAATCAGATTACGTTTGGGACCTTGAATGGTCTCATCCGCATTTCTAAATATTCCACAAGATATCTCGAGTCAAGCAATAAGTACAATATCTTTCCACAGAGATTATGTAAAAGTAATACCATTAACGATTGACACAACACCATTAAATTATAATACATTTTTACCTGATACACAAAATAACAGCTTAAATTCAACAATCATACATAATGAAAATCTCAATGGAACCAGAAATCTTACACAACAAGATATTCAAACACCATCACACTTCATAAATGATGAAATCGTCCAAACAACAGCAACGACTACACAACAAAGTATTTCCCCAATACACCCAAATCTGACAACACCAAAAAACACCAATACATCACTAACCCAGGTAAACTTACAATCGACCGTTAAACCTTCGGTTGCTCCAAAATATTCACATATGGACTATCAAACGTATAGACCAATGACAAAACCGTCAAAAACACGAAAAACTTTCAAAAGAAACACTTTCGCCGAACACAATTATAATCATACACACCAATCAAAAAAAAATCAACCCCCCAAAAAATACACAAAATTTAAATCACGTATGTTCCCATTATTGGAATCTCCCAAATAATTGACCAATTCAATAAATTTTTCAGATAATCCACACCCTCCACAGGATTATAGTGAAAAATATCCATTTTTTCAACAGAATAAAAATAAACAACAAACGCCATATAACACAAACTATATATCATCTGATGAAAATGATTATCATCAACCAGATATTTTTGCACCATATACTAAAGAATATCGCACACAGAGACCGCGACAATCTCAATCATCTCAAAATGTGAAAACTTACCCACAAAATCTAACAGATATACAAAATCCACAACAAATGCATATACAAAACCCATATAACACACAATCTTTTCAACCAATACAACCACAAAACCCAATGTTAATGCATTCTTATCAACCAACCCAAATGCAAAATGAAATACCACTTCCATATTATCTTCAGCAACATGAAATAACAAAAAATCAACTATCAAACTTTTCACAAATGCCAAATGCCGCAGAATCACTACAGATGACTATGAATCCATACCTCATGGGTGGATCATCAATAACATCGAATAGACCATTAATGGTATTCACAGAAACAGACCCTGAATATTCTGTAGAAGATTATTTAAATGCAGTAACAGCGAACTTAATTTTAAATATAGGACCCGAACCAATTAATACACCACTCCATCAAAATTGGATACACAGACGCACAGCGTTAATACAAACAACACTAGATGGCGCAGCTCAAAAATGGTTTTCAGTACTACCCATAGAAAAAAAATCAGATTGAAAAAGATTTACACAAGAACTTTCAAAAATGTTTGATTTTGAAAGAAACAAACAACATCAAAGAGTTTTATGCAACGAGATACGCAGATTACCAAACGAAACAATTAAACAATTAGCAGTACGAATCGAAACACTAGTATGAAAAGCATATTCACTTAATACACAAGATTACAAAAACACAAAAATGACAGAAATTTTAATGATGACCCTTACACCTCAATTAAGGAAAATAGCTATAAAAAGAGAGCATCTCATCCCTCCTCAATTCGAGAACCAGATTTAGATTTTAGAAAATTAGTAGATAAACTAGAACAAGCAGAAATCACAATGAAACTCGAAGAAACAGAAAATCTAAAACTACAATATGTTAATCGGATTGAAAAAAATACTACACATATAAATAACATACAAGAATCAGATACAGACCTGATTGAAAAAATTACTGAAATACTAAACATCTACGAACGACATCCAAACTTTAAAGGCAAACCATTTTTCAAAAAATGGTGTAATTATTGCCGACGATACGGACACATTATTGCCGAATGTAGACAAAAACAACAAGACAATCAGAATAAACCTCAAAAGCACAAAGAACCAAAGAAATCATTCTATCAATACATGAAAAAAGACCAGAATCTACCAAACAAAAATATTTATAGTAATAACAGTTCAGGAAAACTACTCCCAAGCAACTCAAATTACTCAAGAAATCAATCACCAACATAACTCAAGTTATAGAGGTAGATCGCCCGAACGAAGAAATTCACAAAATTTCTCACAAAATAGATAAAACCGATCAAATAGCCAAAATAACCAAAATAACTATTCACGATCGAGTTCAAACACAACAGAATTTGTTTCTGGATCCAGTTCCCATTCAAACCCAAGGAATAGACAATGTTCCAATAATAGATCACGAAACTCATCATACAACAGAAATAGAAACTAGTCACACAATAGAAATAGAAGTTATTCTAATAATCGAAATCAGAATTATCCAAACAATAGATCAAGGATTAATTCATATAATAGATCGAATTATCACAGATCAATTGACAACTATCAAAACAGATCACGAAAAATTTCACAAAATCGAAACTCAAGTTACAATAATCGATATAGAAATTATTCCCAGTCACCACATAGGAATAATAACCGTTATCCCGATTCTAAACATCGATACGGAAGCAGCACACCAAAACATCAAAGACACATTAACCAAGTGCAAACAAATGAAGAAATAACTTCAGACCACCCACGTATTGATGACACAGGAAGTAATGAACTACAATTAAATCACATTAATTGTGAATCAACGGATACTGAAAGTGATACAGATATACCATCTCTGTAAATATGATAACAGTCGAAAACGACTATGAACCTATCATATATGAACAACCTTTTACTTCACATATATATGAAAATCATATGGAACTTCTCCATAACTACTATATTGGACCCATAAATAATAATACACAAATTACACAAGAAGTAAACGAAATTAACACGGTAATTAAACCCGATAAAAAAGATGAAACACAATGCTCAAACACAAAACATATTTATCAAAATGTACAAAAAGACCAACCAAGAGAAAAAAATTGGACAATTCCATTTCTCTTAGAGAGCCCAAGAAACAAAGAATTTCAACCACCTGATCTTGAAATTGATTTTTCAATTGACTCAGGAGCAGAATCAAATATAACTAATATTCCCACATGGAATGAAATCAAAACATTGCATCCAAATTTAAGACCTCTTGAAACATCTAGTAAATTAGGAACAGCACAAGGATCAACATTAGTAAATTAT